CGATTGAGCTGATTAAGTTCGTCGGTCCTGTCATCTGCCCGAGCGGAGTGCCCTTTGGATATATCCAGGTGGCGCTCGGTGTTTGCAAGGCGCTCTATAGACGGGCATCAGAGTTCAGTCAATTGAGGTATGTTATATTGCGTACCCGATTGACTGCCAAGCCTGGTGAGGGTGTTTCGTGCGGTATCCTCAGCTTCGCGGGCCAGGCGAAGGGCATTTCTAGTCGAGTTCGCACTTTCCTGTTTAACATATCTCGTCTGCTTCTTGATGCCCTCCACATCTTCATCATTTTCCTCTCCAGGTGGTGGTTCACGATCTAGCCCGGGGCCATCGAAGAATCGACCGGAGCCTGCCTTCTCTGGATTGTAGCCGGAGAAGAGTGCGGCGCGATCATCGTCGAGCTTGGAGAACTTCTCTCCAGGACGAGAGTACACATCGCCGACGCCATTGTTTCTATTATACTTATCACGAGGATAGTTGTTGTTGTAGTCAGTCTTTGTGTCGGAAGAATACGAGTCGTTCCGGGGGGTGTTGTAGGGATCGCCATCGCGACTGGCAACATAGGTGTTGGCGGTGGAGCGAACAGGGCGGGGGGAAGAGCGGTCACCGAGAGGTGGTCCAGACTGCTGAACTGGAGGTATTTGGGACTTGTTATTGTCCTTGCGTTTGAAGAAGGACATGGTGGTCGGGTTGCAAGGAGAGATGCGGTGATCAATGCTGTACCCGTGGTAATTATGTACTAAAATAGCAACTTCCCCTATTTATTGCATCTACGCAGCACCTTTTCGTGGCCGCGCCTTGCCCGCCTTCTCTTTGCCGACGACCGTCACACCCTTCCCCGTCTTGACGACACTAGCTAGGGCGGCCTGCTTCTGCTTCTTTATGCCTCCAATCCCTTTCAGCTTCGCGTACTTGTCGACACTGTTGTTCAAACCGTCACGACTCTTCTTCTTCGCCTTGCGCTCCTTCCCGCGTAACGCCTTCTTCTCCGCCGGTGTCAACTCGCTCCGAGCGCGAGGATCAGATGAGGGTTTCGCAAAGACCTCTTCCGGAGCCAACATGCTTGTCGTCGACTTTGTGGTGGGAAGCGCAGATTCCATAGTAGCGGTCGACACATTGGCGATGGAAGATATGGTGGCTTTAGGCTGTTGGGATTCTTTTTAGTATTAGTTCTACAGATTAAGATGTTTTTACGGACCTGTTTCGGCATGAAATGTGCGTTGCAAAGCGCGTCCAGTTTCCCGCATATACCTTCCCAAAGAGCCTCGATTTCGTCGTGCTCCTTGTGAAGCTTTCCGTCTCGATCGTCGACAGCTGTCCCATTCGCCTGTGCCACATAATCCTCCTCGTATATCTGAGCTAGGGACTGGGTCGACTTCGTGTCCTTCAGCTCGAAAAAACGGGACGGTAGGAAAGGTTTGTCCTCCATGGGCCGTATTCGCACCACATCATCGAAACTGCCTTCCAAAATCCTGGCCTTGATTCTGTCCTCAAGGGCCAGAACGCTTTCTTCTGTCACAACAGGAACCGCTTTCATGACGCGCTCAAATTCCAAGTCCTCTTCCAAAAGAGAATTTTGCGGCCGAGCCCGGGCGCCCGCTTCCCCCATGACAACCCAATCCTTGGGACCAACATTCTCCGCTTCAAGACTGGATATTTGTTCGCGGAGTGCGGCCATGCGTTGTTCGTGAGTTGAGAGATCTACCAAGGTGTCAATCCCAGCTTTGAGACGTATGTCTCACGTACCTTCTGGTGGTTCATCTTCTTCCTCTGCGAATAGATCACCCTTGAGTCGCTCAATAGTGTCTGCCCCGTCGAAACTACCGTTCAATGAAAATCCGTCCGCCTCGTCTCCATCGTTTTCACCCTCTTCGTCTTCATCATCTTCGTCATCTTCGGCTGTTTCGCCAAATCCCTCGCCAAACACCTCTTCGTCGTCTTCATCGTCGTCGTCTTCTTCGGCGAGGGTGTTCAGAGGAAGGTTCTTTCCCTTCGCTTTGATATTCTTAACTCTGACTTCTTCGTGAAATCTGACAGTGCCGGTTTTTTTAGGCGAGGTAGCGGTTTTTTTAGGTCGCGGAGGTGGAGCATGTCGAGGGGGCTCGAAGAAATCTTTATAGAAGGCTTCTGTGAAATACATGAGTTTCGTTCGTCAGGTTGAAGCCAAATCTCACCGCCAGCATTATCCTCATCCTCCTCGTCGAAGTTTTCAGTGATATCGATGGGCGCGAAAAGATCTACAGATTCAGCATCGTCTGAATCGTCGTCATCTTCTTCCAAGCGGCCCCTAGAAACCTTCCGAGCTTCTGCTTCCTCCGTTTCTGCATTGAAAGATGCCAGATCAAAAAAGCCGTCGTCCAGCCCAGTTTTGGAGCCAGCGGACGACTTTCTCTGTGTGCGGCCTTTCCGTAGAGAAGAAGGCCACTTGGATTCGGTTTCCGGATCGTCGCTGTCGTCGTCTGAAGGATCTCGGAGACTAGTGATACCTTCTCCCAAATCATTATCGTCGACTGACCCTTCAGACTCGGACTCTATGCCCAACTCCTCGGAATCACTGTCCTCTCCGTCGTCCTCCATGTCGTCTAGATCCATCTCGTCAAAGTCGTCACCCTCCAGGGCCCGCATCTGCCTGAGGAGTTGCTCGTCGACGAATTCATCTGTGCCATTGGTATCTGGCTCCTCGTCTTCCGGACTGGCGTCCAATGCAAGTTCAAGAATCTCACAGATGGGTTTCATGCGGAGATCCAGCTGAGCCCATATTTGATCATCGTCCATACCCTCCGTGAAAAGAGAAGTGATAGGTGTCGGTTCAAACACGGGCGGCGGGGGAGGCGAGGGGCTGGTGCTTCGTTTCCGCTTTTTACTGGCTTGTGACCGCGTCTGAGGCGCTGTAGAAGGACTCAGAGATTCCAGGAGCGCTATGATGTGGGGTCTGGATTCATTTTCCGCCTCAACCGCTGAACAGAAACATTTATGAGATATTGCAGATAATTGCGGATATGGGCGTACAGAGTTCAAAAACAAATTTTGTGGCATCCAGAGCAGCAGCGCGTACAGGATTGCTTCCCGAGGGAGTGAACCATGCAGGTTGACTTTGTATTAGACTCGTAAGAGCTACAAGTTCGGCCGGCGCTGAATCCATTTTTTTCGAGTCGTCGTCTCGATTAGGCATGGAGAATGTTTGGCAAGACGAGGCAAGCCAAACAATGTACCCCTCTCCAACCATCTTCAAGTCCGAGGGCATACATAGGCGTACAGGCAGCTTCCATTCGATGCCCTCCACTTTTGTTCTAGTCTGTGGCGAAACTGAATCTTTCTTGGGCTAATTTGACTCTGGTTACACACGGCCTCCGAGCGCCCATGAAATTAAGCTTGTACTTGCGACGTACTTTTGTGTGCCGCCGTATGCTCCTTGTTGGTCCCCGCAACGAACCTTGTTCATTCTGCCGGCATAACGACCATGTTGCGACCGCCAGGCTTGGGCCTCCATTCTGATTCAATTCCCCAATGGGACAATGCGAACAACAAAGACAATGGCGCCGGCTAACGTGACCATTGTACTCGCGCCGCCAACGAAGGGTATAAAAGAAAGTGTGAATGGAGGATTTCTTTAAGCTTGGGTCCCGCCTTTTCCAACTACGCGCTCTTTTCAGCTCGCCAGACGAACTTTTTCTTTTTCACGACATTCACTCACATTCATTACAATCATGATTGCTGGTCTATCGAAGGCTACTACGCTTTATCTTGCCCCAGTGCTGACCTTGACGGCCATTCTTCTCTCGCTCTTTGCATACCTCGCTCCCGTCCTGATCCTCCAAGACAAAGTTGCGCTATTAACCGTAATCCCTTCTACGGCATTAGTCCAAAATGTGTCTCGCTCAGTTGACGGACCCTCGCTGTACCTCGGTGTCCTTGGTAATTCTTCAGGCTGTTCTGCTCTACGTTTTCTGACACCTTTTCGCTAGGTTCTTGCTCACGCCCAAAGAACGATGCTCACATAAACTGCACGATCGCGACGCTAAACCCCATCTATGGTGCGACGATTGTAACTCACTCCACGTTTTCCTCTCAAACCATCCTCAGATGTATCTGTACTTCCCAGTTCAGCCCCACGACTTGTGCTTTCAGCACCTACACAGGCCACCCCGGTCTTTCTCGGGCTGGCGCTGGCTTTTTCAATCATCTTCTTTATCACATTCACCATGATTTCATTCCGCCACAAAATGGGCGAAAAAATGACCGCGATGTTTGATAAACCGATTATCCAACGGTCCTCGGCATGGATTGGGTTCTTTGGATTTATTATCGTAAGCGGTTCCTTTTCCTCCTCGTCCAACATGCTCACTCTTTGCTATAGGGAATCACCGGGTTCCTCATCCTCCGCATGTGGTTTGGAAAGGCTGTCGACGATTTCAACAACAGCATTGTCCTGCAGGGATCTCAGGGACCGCAGATTATTGCCAACATAGGCAATGCATTCACAAGTTCGTCGTCTTGTCTACCTCTCCCTACCATGACTAAGGCTTCATCTAGTGGTCTGGGTTGCATATGCGTTCTACGCAGTCCCACTGATCATTTCCTTGTCGAAACTCAATGTCAAGGCCACTAAATAAACGCTTTCTAGTGGACTTGGTTCTTGTGGAGTTGTTCTCTTTAAATTAGCACAGTAAATAATTCCCGAAAGGGTGTAGCGAATAGCATAGAATGATACGGACTTGAATCTCACTCAGTGAAAGAATTTAGTCTCGTTGGCGGATGCCTGTCCCTGGCTGTAGTGCCAAGATTTTGCTTTGCTCGTTGAAGATCGTCAACATGAGAACACTATTGCAATGTATATGTAAATTCTCTTATAATAAATTCACGTTGCCTCTGGGAAGGCTTTAATCTCTGCCAGGCTACCACCAGCCTCCAACTATGTAACGAGGCGAGATGCGAGATGGCTAGTGTTGTAAAAACGGATCATGAAGAGGAGGTTGCGCAGGAGGCGAGAAAAAAGAACGCGGTGCCAGTAGGGTTCGAACCTACGCGGAGAAACTCCAACAGATAGTGAGGAATTCAAATCTGTCGCCTTAAACCACTCGGCCATAGCACCTGCTTGAGGACTTCTCCAATGCAGAGGTAGCGGGCGTGGTCTGATGCATCCTGAGCCCAGGTTGGAAGACACAGTCCCAGTTACGCTTAGAAAACTTGACCCCGTTCTCACCCTCGCTGTTAGATATGTAGTCGTTACAATGAATTTGCACACAAACGGTGTCAAGCACGATTGAATTCTCGTAACGCATGCCTTTCCATATCAGGACGTTGGCGTTGAGTACCGTTTACGGTTGATGTTACCCCTGTTTCTTTTGATCGGGAGTAAGAAAAAGTTTCATGGCGAATGGAACTGTACTTTGGTCCCCACGATTGACTATCGTGGGTCCTCATTTTTTGTCACTGAAGGATACCGCTCAGGTATCAGGAGCGACAAGTCAAGAGACATGAGTTTATGGTCAGGGGTATTCTGGGAAGCTCACGCCTTCCATTCACACATCATGTTGCGCTCGTCGACGCTTTGTGTTCATTCATTCATAGCCATAGAGTATTGTCGCAATGTACTTATACTTGACTATAGCATATTGAGAAACTCGTCCCCGCTCAACACTTCGTCCGAGTCAAAGTCACTGTCCGCCGAGTCTTCATCCGAGCTCTCGTCTATCATTGTGATTTCCTCGGTTTCGGCTCCATCTTCGGGGGCGTCAGCGGTGAACATTGGGTCCTCCTCAGGCGGCGAAACCCAGCAACTGTCGGGAACATTCGCTTCAAAAGTCCACCCGTCGTCTCCATCTTCCTTGGAGTCTTCTCGAACCATTTCGACGTCTCCTTCGACGTCAGATTCGGTATCTGAAGGATCATAATGGTCGGCGGCGACTGGAAGGATTGGAGCGACATAATCTGGTTCGAGTGCTCTGTCCTCCAATTCCCAAGCCAATTCCATCGGATCTACCCTTGCGCTGTGAGATCCTTTGGGAGATGCAGGTGAGCCATCGCTAGAATTGTCACTGGAGGCATCATCGCTGGAGTCGAGCAGATCAATCCCGGTTGTCCGAGTCACCCAAATACCCGGGCTTTCCTCGACCGTCTCCCATTGACATGTGGAAAGTAATGGAAACACAAGTGCATCTTCTGATAGTGCTTCCATGAATGCATCCGCGTCGTCTTCGTCCAGTTTGACCCGTCGGCCTAGCATTATTTCCCACAAATCTCCCTCTTGCATGAGGGGGCCAGAAAAGTCATCGTAACTGTCACCATCGGCCCAAGCAACGATTCCGACGTCGGGGTGGAACTCGAGATGAAACGTTTCGCACATCAAGCGAGTTGCACCTCATCTTCTGAGTTGCTCGTACTCTTTGTCACGATTGTAGTAGATTCCAAAAAAGAAGATACTGCTCGACTCCTTGAAGAGGTGTGTCACCTCGAGATTGACAAAGACGGTCAGGTTCAGCAGCCTCGTTGGAGGTATAATCTACATCATCTTGAAGAGGCCAATGAGTTCAGTTATCAAAATCGGCCCGAATATTCTATTCTCACAGTATCAAACATGAGTTGACATCCACCCGAACACATCTCTCTTTCAAGAGCATTCAGGACAGCGATACACACGGTCCTTGACGTCCCAAGTTGCTTCTAGATCGAGATCATCTACGACTGGGGGTTTAGTGTTCTCTCTGTTTTTCGGGCCCGTTGCACGAAGTGTTCATCGCTTGAATCTTAAAGGAACTCTTCCAAATCATGGATGCCATGAGCTAGCCTCAGCTTCCAGAGCGCGTTGCGTTTTGTCGGGATCATCCGCGACGAGTCGCGTATAACGCGACCAAGTTTTCGAACCTTTGCGGTCTGAAGGCGTTGAGTGAAAGACGCGCTTTTCATAGGGAGCATGTCAAACCTGCTCTTCTTTTTCAACTGACGCCATTTCGGAAGATGAACAATGAAAGAGGGGCACCCGGCAAACACGTCCAGTCACAAAAAAGTGTCTCCCGTGACTAATGGCTCATGACCCCGTCCAATGTTAAGATTCATTAGGACCATATTCCAAGCGAATTCAAGGTCGGAAGAACGCTAGGTTTGCTCAGAGATATCCACGCACAGAAAACAACGACGCAGTGCACCACTGAAAACCTTTGTTCTCACAGTTGAAAAGGACGACCATACAAGGTAATAAATGATCAGAATACGGGTTGCTCAAGGAAGGCCTCCGGCTGCTGCTGCTGGTACTCCTGGGGCGGGGGGGCGTAGGCCTCCTCAGCTGCTGGCGGGGGAGCAACGGCGATGGGCTCCCGCTGCTCCGACGTAGGCTCAGAGACAGTTTTGTCAACCGGGGGCTCGAGGATGACAACTGAGTCCGGCAGAGGTTTGCGGGGTCCAGTCTGGCCCTCCGGATCCGTGCCCTTCATGCTATATGACGGGCATGTGAGTCATCGACGCAAATCATACGCTGCACAGTTGACGTACATTTTGACCTTGATACCGAGCACACCCTGGCGCAGCAGGACGTGACGGACAGCAAAGTCGACGAAGTCGACGGCGGGCTGACCGGAGTGGATCATGAAGCCATCGGTGAACTTCATCGATTTAGCACGCGCGGCACGAAGTTTGCCAGAAACGACGACTTCGCAACCCTTGGCGCCGGACTCCATGACGAAACGGAGGACACCATAGCAGGCACTATAGAACATGAATGAGAGATGGTTCGCGAAAGAAGGCGGTCAATAACGAACCGACGGACGGCGAGACCACCGAGCAGCTTGTACCGCAAGCTCTCGCACTGAGCGATGGCAGAGAGACCACGGTATTGAACCTTCTCGGCGTAGAGTTCAAGGGAGTTCTCGGGGAACTTGAAACGTTTTTGGACGAGGGCGGTGAGCTCGCGAATGCGGCGTCCTTTCTCGCCCAGGACTTCTTGGGTGTGCGTTGCACGGATAATGATCTAGGACGTTGAGTACAGGTGAGGAAACCATATCGCAGGAGCAGTACCTCAGTGCGGGCGTGGGTGACACGGACGTCGCAGCCAGAGTAACCTTCCTCGGCGAGTTCACGGGTGAAAAATTCGTTCAGTTCGGCGCGGAAAACACCGTCGGCGACAAACTTGCGCTTTTTGCTGATCTGGGTGGCCATTTTGTAGTCTGGTGGTGGAGGTTGGAAAGGAAGAACAACACAAGATTGACTGGAAATATATACCTTGGGGTGGCGGGACCGCTTGAGTTGTTTGGAAGCCGATTGTGCCGAACTGGATAGTACAACACGTGCACGCAACTCCGACGGCGGCAACTTATAACAACTCTAAATACCGGTGTCATATAAAAGCGTGCCAAATTTCCTAACCGTTCTCTCATCCTTCTTGTCTTCCACTTGGTCCTCCCAGCAGCACAAACGGTGAGAACAACTTTTCTTTCTTCCTTCGACGCGTTCCCATCCCCTTTTCAATGACGAGTTTGTTTCACTACAACCATTGGCACCTCTTAGTCGACTTGAGCCACGACCAACAGGACTTTGTTCTGCGTGATTCACTGACATGAATGACTTGCTGAGATTTTTTCCCTCTTTCCTGTCCTTTCCGCCACTCGTTTCAATTGCTGACTGCACTCTCTTTTAGGTGTTGTTGTGGGTCACTTGAATATATTACACGTACTACCTACAACTTGCTAGCACTACGGGCCTCGTTCACAAATATACCTGCTGCACCCATTCCACTTCCAATGCACATGCTAGTGCACAACAACGACGCGTTCTTCCTCTTTAACTCGGCAAGCCCGGTGACAAGTTGTCGAACCCCAGCTATAAAAAAAAAAAGTTGTGAATGCCGGCTATCACAAAGAAAGAAAGAAAACTCACTCATGCCGAGAGGATGTGAGATGGCAATGGAACCGCCACTGAAGAATGTCAATCCGAGTACCAAGGAACCCAATTGCACTCACTTTGGATTGATTTTCTCAATCGGAATGTTCAATTGCTCGACGCAATATGCAAACTGAGACGCGAACGCCTCGTTGATCTGTGAAATGGTTGAGCAACGAGACTGAAATTTAACGTAGAACATACCTCGTAGACATCAATGTCCTCCTTCTTCAAGCCCACCTGCTCGAGCACTTTGGGAATCGCAAAGATGGGAGAAATTCCCATGTACTTGGGCTCAACACCTGCCGGCGCTGAGTCGATTATTTGAAGAAGGGGAGAAGACCTACCGACGACTGCACTGGCAACCCACTTGCCTAGAACTTCCATCCCTTCCTGCTCAGCTCGTTCTCTTGTGGTCATGATGCAAATGGCCGCGCCGTCCCCGACACCACTAGCATTTCCTGCAGTGGTAGAAGCCTCACCCCAGTTGGGGAACACCGGTTTGAGGCCGGACAGCGACTCCGCGGTGACACCATGCCGGATAGTGTCGTCGACAGATACAACAGCGCCTTTAAGCTCGAGGGGAATGATTTCGTCCGCGAAAATTCCGTTGGCCTGCGACTACACGGAGGTCAATCGCAGTGAATCAAAACGCCCACAGACGTACTTCACTGGCACGCGTGTGCGAGATGAGTGCATATTTATCCTGCGTTTCGCGAGAAACCTTGTATGTTTCTGCTACCATTTCAGATGTCCATCCCATCGGCTGTCAAAATGTGAGTAGATACCTGAGGGACAGGAGAGATCATCTACCTGAATACAGTCGTGCGCTTCAGCGTTCTTGTCCACTAGCTCGCAGATTTCCGGTGTCGGGCGTGCATGCATACTCATGCTGTCAACACCAAGCGCAAGCCCGATTTTAGTCTCGCCGGCTTGAATGGATTAGACGCCGAAATGCAAAAATTCTCAATATGACCTCACCTGAAATGGCGTGCGCAATATTGCGGATGGCCATTAAGCCCGACGAGCACAGTCGATTCACAGTCGAAATGGGAACATGGTGTGGAATACCGGCGGCTAGTGCCGCTGCTCTAGAGGCGTAGAGAGGGGATGGCGGGTGACATGTTCCTACCATGAGTGAGGAAAGGAGATGAAGCAGATCAGACACCGGGCATACCGACACAGATATCATCGATTTTGGACGGGTCAAGCTTTGTTTTC